CCCCCCCCGGGGGGCGTGGCTCACCTGCGGCGCAGAGGCGGTGCATGCGCAGGTAGCTGATGGTGAGGCGCATGATGGAAGCCTTGTCCAGGTGGGCGCTGACCCCGCGCGCGAAGGGCAGCGTGTGCGCTAGCTGGTACAGCACCTCGGTCTCCTGGCTGCGCCGGCTGCGGGCCGCATCCCGGGACTTCTCCTTGCGCAGCTCGGTGCTCGACCTGCGGGCATCGGCAGCGGTCACTGGCGGCGCCCCCGGAAGGGAAAGAGTTGGATGGGACATGCGCGCGGGGCGCTGCCACACGGGGCTCGGGCTCACAGAGGGCAGGGCCGCGACCGTGCAGGTCCCGCTGTGTGGCCCGGGCGAGTTCCCGGAGCTCTCTAGGTCCGCGAGGGTTATACTCCGGGGCAGCTCCCCGGCCGCGGGTTTTATCTGTCCCCGCGCCGGCGCTTGCTGCCCCCAGCGCCTTGCTTCTCTCCGAGGCGTGCCTAAGGGCCGCTGTCCCCTCCCTGACTTATCTGCTGTCAATTCCCCGGGCCCGGGACGCCTGGGGGACAGGGTGGCCTCCTGCTGCGAGAGGGCCGGCGGAGCTGGCCCCCAGCCAGGGAAGGGAGGAGGCATGATGTCAGCAGCCTCCAGGCCCCCTACCCTACAGCCTCCCGGAACCCTCTCTCCTGCCCTTTCCCCTCCTCAGCTGAGCTGAATCCTAAGAATCTTAGAACACAGATCTCAAAGTCCAACCACCCACCACCAGGGGCCCTGCCGATGTGACACAGCAAACCAACCCCAGTGTTCTATGAAGCCAACGGCTAACCACTCACCCCTGCCCTTTAATCCATTTCAAATGCCTGACTCCTGCACGTGGGGTTGGGGGTAGACGGATGAGTACTGTGTTGTCACAAATATCTGCCACTTATCCCGCATGTACTGTCAGTCCCCAGGCCAAGGAGGTAAAAGACCTGAACCCACTTAGACCTCAGACAACCCCAGCAAGAAGGCAATAACATTATCCCCATTGAACAGACGAGGAAACCAAGGCACAGAGAGGCACAGCGCTTGCCCCTAACGAGTGAAGCCAGGTTTGAACAATGGTGGGCCTGAACTCTTCACGTTTCTCTGTTCTGTGGCTCTGGGTTTATCTCCAGGTTAGTGCTTCTCTCTGCTACCGCCACTGTCTTAAGTGTCCAAATCCAAACTGCATGGTTTTTTGAAAAAAGAAAAATTATAGAGTATATTACATATAGTATATATAATCTTCTCCCTCTCTGAATACACACACAAACACACACGTGTATATATGTGTGTGTATATATATATCTCAAACTCGCAAACTGTGAGATCATGACCTGAGTCGAAGTCAGACATGTAACTGACTGAGCCACCCAGGTGCCCCTATATATATATGTAATTTTTTTTAAGTAGGCTTTAGGCCCAGCACGGAGCCCAGTGCAGGGCTTGAACTCACGACCCTGAGATCAAGACCTGAGCTGAGATCAGGAGTCAGATGCTTAACCGACTGAGCCATCCAGGCGCCCCTAATCTTCTCTGTACTTATCATATTGAGAGAGCCATTAATAAGCAGCTATAATTTGCTAAACATGCATGTGTCTTGCACTGTCCTAAGTACTCTGCCTATGTGTACTCATTCAATTCCAGGAGGCACTTTAAACCTCCATGTCGCAGAGTGGAAACTGGGGCTCTGACAGGGAAAGTCCTTTGCCCCAAAAGTCACAAAGCCAGTAACTGGGAGAGCCGGGATTTGAACTTAGGCAGTGAGGTTCCAATGCCTTCATTCTCTGATCCCTTCCTGGTGACCCAGCCCAGGGAAGCAGAACTAACTCTAGGAAGGGAGGTTGTCCCTTCCAAAAACCAGAGGCCACTCCTGGGGATGGCATCAACCTCGCCCCCCAAGCAGACCTGAAGCCCCACCCACAGGCACGGATGGGGAGAGGAAAGGGGACTGTCCTGTCAGGCTGCTGGGGGAAAAAAACTGCAGCCAGTAGGAGGCA